GTAAAAGGGCCTTTACCCAATATAGGCCTCAGGCCTTGTAAAAATAGAGCAGCACGGGCCTTGTAAAAGTAAAGCATTGTGAAAAGGTATCTTGCCAGGGCTCAGAAACGTGAAAACAGGTCAAAGGTCAAGTTCTCTATCAACAGGCACATCTAAATCTAAGGCAAAGSGCATTGTCAAAGGACTTACCTGTTCACCAGGAGATGTGTATGTCATGTCTGTTCGGGTAAGGGTGTGTCTGTACGTGCAGGCAGTGTACCTGTTCGTGCAATGGAAAGTGCATGTTCAAGTAGTAAATGTGTCTGTTCGTTTAGAGTTGTGCCTGTCCGAAAGYGAAGTCAGTAGGCACAGTCCCAGTTCTGGTCTAAGTCAAGGGGTCAGTCCAGATCCAGACTTTCAAGTCCAAATCCAGGCCGAAGTGCCTCAGCAGCAGTTGAACCTCATTGGGACTRTACWGGGACACATGCAATGCAGGGTCTGGGACAAAGGGAGAGGCTGAATTGAGCCAATGCAGACCCAGSGAGGAGTGGCCAGCACTATAAAAAGAGCTGCCTGCCTCATTCCTCGCCAGATCTCCACTGGCTGCAATRCGTGGARGTGCTGGTGCACTTGTGCGCTGAGTCAAGAGGAGCAGCGCTGGAGGAGAAGACGCGCTGGAGGGAGGAAGAAGCCTGTACGCTGGAAGTGATGCAGCCATAGCTGCCCAGCGAGTTAGCATTMGTAGTAGAGGGTTAGTATGTAGCTATGAGTGGTATCCAGAGTAGATCCTCATGAGTATTAAAGAGTGTGTATGCATCATAGGAGGAAGGGATTGAGGCTGAGAGTGTTCATTCAAGGTTTGGCTATGGAAGATACTTACCTGAGTTGGATGTGACCTGCAGAGGCGGCGCTGATGAGTAGTGACCACATTGAYGACTTGGAGACTATCTGCAGGGGTAGCACTGATTCACTGGAAGTCATATTGATGAGTTGGCAAGATATTGGTGTTGCGCTGATGAGCGCTGAACTCAGGGGAGCTTTGAAACACTTTGTAATCATATTTTTGATAATATAAGCTGTGAAACTCGGTCCTCTTCTTCTCTACCTTTGTCTATGGTTGAGACTATTGATCACTGCGTGTGAAGATGATGCATGACATGTACACATCTGCGTGAGATGGTCCCCAGGACTCATGCAGTGGGAGTGCATAGCCCCCTTAATGTCCTATACAGTGGGATGTATACACCCCTTAATGTCCTACACAGTGGGAGTATACAGGCCCCCCCGATGTCGTATAAAGTGGGAGTGGATAGCTATTAGGTGAAAGTTCGGTGAAACATAAAGAGATCAGGAAAGCAATTTTGCACGAACGACACTTGTTGATTCATTCCTGATTAATTGTATTATATTAATTAAAGTAATTGAATAATGACAAAAACATTGTCCAGTACACAGACTTTCGACGGAAAGGTAGGTGGGACTATAAACAGAGAGACATTGAAAAGCTGAAAACACAACTAAAGCTTGGAAAGCACGAATATGACCGCAAAAAGGGTCAGGTTCAAGCTTGGAAAGCACACATTGAGGAAGGCAATTGACAAGTACAGCAAGGAGTCAAGGACTACACCAGGCCTTGGGACCAGATTGCCACTGGTGCTGTGTCTATGCTTGGAAAGCATGAATCAGACTGCAAAAAGGGCCAGGTTCATACATATACATATATGTACAACTGATACCCCTCTGAGGTAGTGGGGACCACCAACCACTGCCCTCAAGGTACCTGTGACGAAAATGAAAACAGACGATCACTCACCCACCCCGTCACAAGCCAGCAAAACACCCATGAAACAAAGAACGGTCTATATGTATATATCATCAAATTCCTTCTCCTCCAACCACCTCCCCCCCCCCCAACCCTCCACAATCACAATGCACCCTCATCATGAATGCATACAACCGATCATTGCGGTCGGATCCATTGCGGTCTGATCCAGACTTAATGAGGCTGCATTCCCGAACATACATGCGCCCTGACCGTGAGCGTATGCAAGCTATCTTTCCAGTGTGATACAACAACATGAAACCGTCAGTACAGCTGGGCCTGGAGGCGCTACACTCCACGCCAAGTGGCGCACTTTTTCCCTTTTCCGGCTGGCACCGCCAGCTATTAAGGTCCGCTAGCCCCGAGCCGCGCCGCGCCGCGCCACTGGGGCCGCATACTGGCGGTTTAATGGGAGTCCTCCGTTGTGTTCGGGGGAAGAAGGCGGCCTCTGTGACATTGCCACTACCGTCTTCCCCCGAACATAACGCACCCCGATAATCAATGTATACAAGCTATATTTCCGGTCAGGTCCAGTCAAGATTGGGGTGTGTTATGTTCCAGCGAAGACAGTAGGCGGCCTTGGTCCTACAGCCTTTTGTTTTTTGTTTTCAAGGGGTTAGCACCTATCCTTATATCAGTATCCATCTGATTCACTCCAGATTCGAACTCATGATATATTTTATGAACAGTGACATGTGTGTACCATCCACCCACATGGGCTGGGTTTAGGCCTTCAATCGCCATTCAATCTCATATCCATAAAAGGGCACATCATAGAAAAATGTGAAACATGTATGTTCCTCCTGGGCCAGAGCATGGGTGTCTGGCAATAATTCGCCTTAAATATTGTATATCGAAAGCCCGACGAAAGGCACAAAACTGTAAGCGCCCCACACACACACACACACACACAGAGAGAGAGAGAGAGAGAGAGAGAGAGAGAGAGAGAGAGAGAGAGAGAGAGAGAGAGAGAGAGAGAGAGAG